CTTTTCTGCTTACAATCAATATAAACAGTCACTGCTACTTGAAGGTACCCAATAAATATTTGTCAAATGGGAAAATGAATTGATAAATGTGCTTCATTATTGAGAATCTGAATCTGAAGTTCTGGTAAAGCCAATCCTTTTTGGAAAACTGAATTAGCCCTTATATAAGCAGTGCTACCTTACACACGGATGTAGTTTAGTATTTTGAATTTGATGAGTAATGATTTTGTGATTTATTTTAAATGATGTGTATAAGGGTATCTAGAATTTAGGCAGGAAAATGATGATCTGGGGTTTTCTTTGGTTTTAGATACTGTTTTTATTTTGTGGATTGTTTCCTTACTCGACTTGATGAATTATCAGGAGAAAATGCCATTTTCATAGGGCAGGCGAGCTGTGTACTTTCATCTCAGTGTGGCACAGACTTCTGGAAAAACTAAGGGTATTTAAAAGAAAAATATAAAGTTCTTTTATCTTTTGTGGATTCTGGAGAAAGTTCATCAAGATTCTGAGCTCTGATAACTTCATTCTTGAAGCACTTGCAGCCCTGCTTGCCTCTTTTAGAAGAGTTTGTGTACTGACCATAGTGCTCAGTGAAAGGTCATTAGGATAATGTATTTAGTAAACATCTGATAATATAGGAATTTGCAATATCATCTCAGCCACAAGTCATAAATTAGATATGTTGGTTTTTCTTTGAGTTCATTTAATGTTAAGTAATACATGGTACCTAAACTGTGTGCAAAATCATTCATTTTACATGAGACAAAGCCTTTGACAAACACAGTTCACTGAGGAGTGCACTTGTGGGCTGCTGGAGAGATTAGACATCTACATGCTTGATGGAACTTCCATAAGAAAGGTGATGAATCTGGTTTCAAGGAATAGGGAAGACATCATGAAGAAAGGAGCATTTGCTGAACATAAGATTGTAATAGATTTAGTTCACTGGACTCTTCCAGGTACCAGAAGCAGAAATGTGCTATTTCTTGGGCTACCTCAATTAGTGAGGTTTACTGGAAGGCTCTATGGGGAGTAGGAAGGGCAGGAAAACACTCTCTGCAGCTGCTCTGGCAGGCCTCACAGAGAATCAGATACAAGCTCTGGTAATGTGAGAGCCTTTCTGTCATGTCACCGGAAGTCAATGTCTGTTTCCTTCACCAGTGGTCTGCACTGGAGTCACTCAGCTCTTCTCTGTCTTTACCTCCATGAAAGCATCCTTTGTATCTTCATGACACTCCTCAAGAGAGAAGAAGCTATCTTGGCTATCCATTCAACAATGAGCAAGCAGCCCTGCTGCACAAAGCTCATGCCACTGCTTAGGCAGCTTGCCAACTAGTGGATGTGTGTTTTTGGCTTAGGTACTTTATTCCTGGTCCAACAAATTGTGGCCAGGGTGATGGAGTCATATGGTATGGAGCAGCGCTTCTTAAACTTTAGGATGCATACGAATCACCTGTAGACCTTGTGAAAATGTGCCCTTTTGGTTCTGAGGTCTAAGGATTCATGAATTCTGTGTTTCCAACAAGCTCTCAGGTGATGCTGATGTTTCTGGCCCTGCGACCACACTTTGAGCCACAAGAACAGAACATAATGATTTCTGTGTGACTGTAATTACTCAGAAGTCAGGCACTCCATGTGGTGGGTCTGTCGTTATGAGATGACATTTCACATGGAAGAATAACTGTAAATAAAAGAGTGGAGGAAGATGCAGTATTGATGTCTATATGTGTTTGTGTAAGGCCAATTTTGAAAATGATTAAGTCCAAAATGAATGAGGCATCTTTAAACCAAAAATCTGGAACAATTTCAGATGTAGTCTTTTAATACCAAAGTTGTTGGGGTTGGCTGTTAGTCTTTTTATGATTTTAATTCAATGTAAATAGTGATTTTGATTTTTTCAGTGAGAGATAGTAAGCAATCCAGTACGAATTTAACTTACTCATACTCACTTGAGAGCCTGTCCCATAACTCTGGTCACAGTTTGCCACTAAGTCTGTGCTGTTGGTGAGGATTTGCAATAGGATCTGCAATAGGACTTGGTTGTTTGTTATAAGCCAGAGTCCCTGGTTTGGACACAAAGTGTCAGATTCCTTATTATTCTGGTGCCTTAGCAGAATCATGCATTGCTATAATTGTCTTCATTAGAGATTCACAAATGTGATACTTCAGCACTTAGTCACAGAGATCTTTGAACCATTAAATGTCTTACATTTATAGAGCAGATCCCAGTTTCAAAGCATCTTTACATTTATTCTAATATTCATTTCATACATATAATCTAATACTGATTAAAAACCAGAGAGATCTTTTCAAAAAGCTTATTTAATGTTGCCAGAGTCTAGTGAGTCAGAATTATGAATAATGTCCAATAGAAGATAATTGAATTAATTGTTCAGGTCCTCTGGCTTAATGGTAGATGCGTAAGGAAAAGCAATGTTTTTCCTACTTTCCTCATTTCATTCGTTATATTAGAAGCAAGACCCCATGCTATATTTACATCTAGTCTTCCTCACTCAATGACAAATGGAAGTAAACATTTTAGGATGTTTTCTTAGCTGAATCTCATCTTCTTCAACTTGTTTTCATTTAAAAATGATTTATTTTAATTGTAATGATCAAACAAGGAAAAAACATTTTAAATAACTAAATAGTAACATCCTTTTTTCTTCTTTCATTTTTTTAGTTAAACCAAGTAGTTCCCCAATTTGTAAAGAGTAGATCTTGAAAAGGATTTTCAAAGTTCACCTTATCTTGGTAATCATGTGGAATTCTGACTTACTGAACAGTTAAATGATATGACCATCTTTGACTGCTACATTCTAAGCTGTCAATTGTCAAAGAACAAATGCCGTTTAGTAGAAGAAGTATAGTGAAAAATATGCTAACGCTGGAGCCAAACTGATGTTTAAATTCCTTCTTAACACCTATGTGCCATGTTACCTTCGGCAAGTTATTTATTCTCTCTGAGCCTCATTTTTATCATCTATTAACCGGGATGTTCATGTCTACCTTCCAGCGTTATTTTGAGGATGAAAATAAATAATGCATGTAATGTATTCAGCATTGACATTACCATTGAACAGAATTTTAATAAATAAAATAAACATCAGGATCTTTTAAGCCTTATGACAAAATGCTATTTTTATATAAAGTTAATAACAAAAGTACTTTTACTTTATATTTGCACAGGAAGAACATTATCCATTCTTGACATGAGTGAAAATTACAGTACTTTGAGCCATTAACAGAAGAGCTGTGATTGTCATTGCCACTAAGCTAATAAATCTCTATAGTAGAACTGCCATTGTCAAAAAAGTGTTTTCCCAAAAAATTAAGTGACAATATTATGTACAGTTTATCAACAGAAATTCTAATTTTTAAAATGTAGTCAGTGAATTTAATTTGTGCTGCAGTGACGTAATGTAGAGGAGCAAAGAGAATGCTTGGTTATAAATATCATTCATAATGAAACTTTTTTCTTCTTTTGAGACAGAGTCTCGCTCTGTTGCCCAGGCTGGAATGCAGTGGCACGATCTCAGCTCACTGCAACCTCCGCCTACTAGGTTCAAGTGATTCTTCTGCCTCAGCCTCCCAAGCAGCTGGGACTACAGGTGCATGCCACTGTGCCCAGCTAATTTTTTTTTTTTTTTTTTTTTTTTTTAGTAGAGACAGGGCTTCTCTACTTTTTAGTAGAGATGGGGTTTCACCATATTGGCCAGGATAGCCTTGAACTCCTGACTTTGTGATCCACCTGACTCGGCCTCCCAAAGTGCTGGGATTACAGGTGTGAGCCACCGTATCAGGCCATAATGAGACATTTTATTAATTCATTGTAATCACATGGGACTCTGCAAGTCAGGTTATACCCATATTCTTTTAGAGAGTTTGGAATGGAAATAATGTGTATGAATGGAATATTCCACTATCATTCAAATAAGGGAAGTCAGATAAAATATCTTCCGTCTCAAGTGGATGACAGATATTCTCATTGAGCTTACATATGCAGTGTCATATACCCCCTCATAGAAAGATGAAGGCCTGTTTTTGATGGCTAAGTACTGTCCGCAGGACCACCATACTGATATATTTATAATAACAGAATGCTTTGCATGATTTTTATAATTAGCCTCCCTTATATTGGTGGCAAACCAGGAGTATCCATTATTTTAGGTGGTACTTCATAGCAAATGCTGTTCTAGCAGTTTTTTTGTTAATGTGTTTTTGTTGTTGTTGTCATTGTTTTGAGACAGTCTCTGTTGCCCAGGCTGGAGTGCAGTGGTACGACCTCGGCTCACTGCAACCTCCAACTCCTGGATGCAAGTGATTCTCATGTCTCGTCTCATCCTACCGAGTAGCTGGGATTACAAGCATGCACCAATATGCCTACCTAATTTTTGTATTTTTAGTAGAGATGGGGTTTCACCATGTTGGCCAGGCTGGTCTTTAACTCCTTACCTCAAATGATCCACCTGCCTCAGCCTCCTTTGCAAAGTGCTGGGATTACAGGCCTAAGCCACCGGGACTGCTACTGTGTTTTTTATTTGATGAAGCATTTGTAGGGCTTTTTAAAAATAAAATGAAATAAGCCATTCTTAAGGAGACAATGGAAATGGCTGGGTAATTTGTTAAAGGGAAAGGTGAGTTAAAGGGCAGCCTGAGTGTATGGATCTGGGGCCTTGTGAGCCTTCAAATTCAATCTGGGAGATTGTACTTCAATCTGGGAGATTTTCTTAAAGCTAAATTGGAGAATTTTCTTAAAGCTAATTTGGTTTCCAGAATCAAATGTTTAACTCCAATATGGCCTACAAATAGCCAAGTCATCCTTGCGAAAGCAATTCTTTCATCTAGTAACAGAGTCTTCATATCTTAGTGTAGTTTTGGTCTTAAAGAGAGGAAGGTGTAAACTTTTAGCTGATTTCCCCAAGCATCACCTGCTTATTCTTTTAGACACTTTCAGGGTATCCACGAGTAATTAATGCAATTTTTTTCTTACACAGATCCAGTGCCCTACCTGCCAATTCATTTGGTGTTTTAAGTGCCACTCTCCTTGGCATGAAGGTGTTAACTGCAAGGAGTACAAAAAAGGAGACAAATTGTTGCGTCACTGGGCCAGCGAAATTGAGCATGGGCAGAGGAATGCCCAGAAGTGTCCAAAGTGCAAGGTGAGATAACTTTTAGGAGAAAAAGAAAAAACATGTGCATCTGGATATGACTGAACAGTATTTACAATATTGAAGCGAATTATAACTGTCTTAATGCAGGTAGGTAGAAAAAGAGTATTTGCTCTTTTATTTTAGAAAAGTATATAATTAAACTGACCATTTTTATAAACAATGTATATTCTTATTTGCATTACACTTCTAAATTAAAAGAGGCCACATATAAATATTGACTTAAGACATTGATGTCCTTATATTACATTGAAAAATGAGGATGTACTTTATAGGAAAAATACAGCATAAAAGTGATATGAAAGTATTATTTCTAGCCTGCCACATGTACTATAATTACTTCTCAATTATATAGGCTCTGAATACTTGCAATCTTTTGCTTTTCTTTCCCTGCTGCCATTGCTGATCACTTAAAATTTACATTAAATTAAACTGATTCTTTTTTTTTTTTTTTGGTAAATCTGGTGATGTAAAAGCTCGTAGCTAAAATCAGGACTTAGGGACTTTATGAATCCCACTTTTCATCCTTCTTTTGGTAATCATGCAAGTAATCAAGACTTAGCAGGCAATTTGAGCTCAGACTTAGTAAATCCAACCAGAAAGCTTTGGATTTGATGTTTATACTGTAGGGATATGTTGAAATTTGAGAGTTTAAAAAAATCTTACTTTAGAAAATCATATGTGTGTATATATGTGTGTGTATACTTTGCAATACGTGGTTTCTACTCCTTGCCAAATTTATTTTTGGAAATAATCTCTAAATTGGGCTAATTATCTTTTAAGCCCAATTCTGCAATTCCTTCTTGGAGACTTAACACCAGATAAATGAAACTTGAGTTATCAGAAATTTTTAAAAATTTAATAATTATGAATACAATTGGAAGTAAAAGTACATTCTAAGCCTATAAATGAACATAATAATAATAAATGTACAGATTTATTATACAAAATTCGCATGGTAGTTTATAGTAAGGAAAAAGCATTGTTTGAAATAATTATGTTGCGTTTTTAGAAAATGGAAGAAATTTTTGAAATAGTTTAGATGACATGGCTTTCTGAGAAGTGATGTCTAAAGATATTTGGCCTGAAGTTTTCCTTGTAGAAGGCAAATTCATCGCAATCACCCATTTAGTTTTAGGGTTATTTCAGATCACTGCATCGGTTGCTGAGTACACTTATTTTTCATTCTATTAAAGAACACCTAGAAAATGAAGCTGTCCTTGCTTTCTCTTGCCTTTTTAGTTTATTCAAAACTACTTCTCAGTTTTAAACAAAACAAAGACCAATAGGAACTTAGAGTACTGTTAAATTATACTACTTAACAGTTATTCATAAATATACTTTATATTCTTTGGAAAGCTGTAAAAGCAATTACAAGTTAGCCTGGTTCTAAAACTGGATTTTGAATGAACACCACTGCAGCATTATGCATTGGGGAAATTCTGAATGAACAGATGTAACACAAAATACGTACATTTATGACTGTAATCTCTTAACACAACCTTAAATGGACTCTGATGTAAAGAAAGAAAAGGAAGTCAACCTTGGGGAATTTACTGACTGCACTAACAGCCTCCCACAGTTGTAACGAATGTAGATAAACAGTTAAGAGAAAGTATAAATGCTGCTTCTCCTTTGAAGTAATAGCTAAAAGGTCAGGGCTTTAAAAGGGATTACCTTTAAAAAAACTGAAAAAAAAAAAAAAAAGAACCATGAAATCAGTTTACGTTATTATATTGTAGCAGAGAACCTACTTTCTGGTGAGATTTGGATTCTATGAAGTTTATGTCTGTTTAAGTCATATTTTATGACTTGTTTTGAGTATAAATGGTTTCATTTTTCTTTCTCTTTCAAGCATGACTTTAAAGCTTTATATATACTTCTGATCTTTTCCATTGGATGATAAAATTATATTTCCCCCCCCCGCCATGAAACATTTCTTTCTTTTTTTTTTTTTTT